AAAATGAATAATTATTGAAGAGGTCTACCAGAAAATGTTTCATGCTAAATATCTAAGATTTTTGAAGTATTTACTATCAAAGGAAAAAAGCATGACACCCTGGGGCGGTTCCAATTTTAACCCAGTGGCCTTATTTTGAGTTCTTTTATATGATGCTATATAAAAATACCTAAACCCGTCAGAGAAGATTTCATTTTTTAAATCTATTTTTAACCCGTGATTTACTCGATATTTAATGACATTGTATACGTATATGAATGGTTAACTCCGCCATGATGGTAAACACGACCATTATTACTTGATATACGCCAATGAATTTAATTGAAGGATATATTTTAACGAACGTTTATCAATTATACTGATACGCTTTATATTAATAAGAGGTAAAGTATCTACCTGGCATGTATTGAAGAGGAATGCTTCCTCGGCGTAATCATGAATGTCTACAAGATGACCTCCCCTTGATCTACAGTCAGCCTCGGCATGATGCCAGTCTCCTGGATGGTCCAATATGAACTCGTAACAGCTTGTTCTGAATTCACGTAAATTGTCTGTTTTGGGTAAATGCGCTGGACAGTTGCTGTTCACCGCTGCAGCTGTGTGATTATGTTAAATATATAAATGACTGAAAACAGCATTTCCATTCTGCACCATTCTACATTCGACCTGAACCACAGCGTAAATTAATATACATGAAAATGAAAAACTGCATCACCAAATCTCACGTCGTCGACAGTTTGACTATAAGGGAAATGGATCGATAATGTTAAAAAGAACTTGATGCCTCGGTTGAAGCAAGGTGAACCCTCTTCTTGGTGATCAAAATTTCCAACGTTCTTAAACATCTTTTTCTTATCATCATTAAAGTTCAGATAGATTCACGTTTTTACAGAAGCAGCAGTATTACGCATGTATTTAGCGTGAAAAAACATAAATGCATTCGTATAATGAATACGTATACTAGTAAGTGTTGATCACACTTTGACAGTGTCAAATACCATAGATGTAACATAACCTTGTTTTCCTACCGTTGAACAACCCCCCTACATAACTGGCCGCACCGGTCCTTTTCACGTTTTTGCTTTATTCACCCCGTATATTTTCTGTAAAATTTACATCTGGAAAATTTTGTATAACGTTTTCCACGTTGATGTTGTTTATGTTCTTAAAGATTGTTGTCGCTCTCGCCGTGAGGGCTAGTGAAACAATCCTACAGCAGGCAAAACGTTTTGTTGTTATACCCCAGTCACATATTCACGGAAAACGCCTACGGAAGAGCCACGGATTAATTCCGGCATCGTCCGTAGTTACCCGTACTGGTCAGTAGCTCTCCGTATTGTAACCGTGATCAATCGTAGTAGTCCTTGTATATCCGTAGTGATCCTTGACAATTTTTGAACATGCACAAAAATTTGCTACGGAAAAATCAACCGTAGCGTATCCCTATGAGTCCGTATTAAACCGTACTGATACGTACTGGTCCGTACGAAAACCGTACTAGTCCGTACTGATTCGTAGGCCCCAACATGTCCACGGTTTGGTACGGAGAACTACGTATTTGTACGGTTACCCTACGTATAAACTACGGTTTTATTACGGATTAATACGGCATTATCACGAAAAGCCACGATCGTAATACGATGTACTACTGAGAGGCAAGGATTACAACGGTCTTTTACGGTTTATTGCGTTGCATCACGAAACGGTACGGAATGGTACGGTCCACCACTGTTTAGTACGGATAAATAAGGTATCATGTACTTTTTCAAAGGTACAAATACTACCTGCTTGTTAAAAAACAGATATACGTGTGAACATTCAATAAATGATAATTGCTATTAACTGGCTGCAACTGTATATTGATATGGCTCAGAATACGGAGGCAGTGGTCGAGCTGCTTGATGACATGCATAGAGGTAAAAAATATGTTAATATCGTACAATAATGCATAAAGTAATATAATAACATTTTAATGTTACATATTTTACAAAACATTGAATTGTGAAATTGGAGTAAATATGTACATAAAACGAAGTGTCTCATAAGCCTCGGACGCTGGCCCTTGAGTGATACTAAGAATAATTAACAAGCATTTTACATATTCTTAAAACATTCACGATAATTAATGTAATTGTAAATGAACAGCACATTTTAAAATCAAAAGAGAAGCAGTATTGATCAACATTTTTCATTAATGATTACAAGTCCATATCTAATCAGGTAAGATAAGACAGAGGTGATGGTTGACTAGAGATGGGCTTTTACGAAGACCCCTTCATGTTAAGTATGAGGCTCTCATGACCGAACTTGTTGAGGATTCGGCGTCCTTCAAGATATTCACTATAATCGGACCTGATATGTCTCGGGGGTCGTCGGACGCGATGAGGCCAAATCCTTTCCGCCAAAATCATTGAACTCTGCAATTCGTTTTCTAGGTGTTCTTTTTTTGTGAGACATTGAGCATGCAAGAGGTTGTGGACGGATATAATAGGTCCGTATAGATCCGTGGCAATTCGTTCTTCTCCGTATCAATTCGTTCTTCTCCGTATCAGAACGTACTTATTCGTACTAACCCGTGCTTATACCGTAGCAGACCGTAGTGTATCCGTAGTGTGTCCGTCCTGATTCGTGTCGCTCCGTATCAAACCGTGTCGGTCCGTAACAATCCGTGTCTCTCCCGGGGCTTTTGGTGGTAAATCCGTCGAACTCCGTACTCATACCGTTGTGTGCCCGTACTGGAACCGTAGCGGACTACGGAATTTCACATTTCCGTAGTAATCCGTGAACAATTATACCGTAGCTCTTCCGTGGCATTATCCGTGAATATGTGACCGGGGCTGGACATAGATTATACCTCAATTTTATAAACTTGATGTTGGTACCAAGCAAAGCTCAAATTGATTAACGTTAATTAACATAATGTTAGTGACAACAGACTTTCTGAACTATATGTTTGATTGCCGCAGACCACTGACCAGTTACATGAGAAAATTGTTCCATACATCTTACATCACATCCGTGTTGTTTAAATTATAACCTCATACACGGTTCTAGAATATTTAACTCTGCCATTTTTTTAACATTGAATTTTCATGAAAATCACATTTTTTGGGCGTGTGGCTATTTGTGCTTTTATTTGGTATGAAATTAAATAAACAGAATATTATATGATGTCTCGCTATCGTGTTAATTGAAAACTCCAGTATGACTGGGCATACATATATTGTCTCACTTTGAGACTATCGATACCTACATCTTTAGTTTCTTTACACACTTATACACACTTATAAGATTTGTTTTTTTTAAAGTCAATAAATACACAAATTAACAACTTACCATATGCAAAGACTGACAGAAAGACAAGTGCAAATACTGCCATCTTGAAATGTTCGTACACTCAGATAAACTGGTCAATTCTTTAAAAGGAAAAGAGGCAAAGATAAGGAATATTAATCACGAACGGTCATACCAAACATTCATTGAGGCTTTATCAAAACGAGACGTTATCAAGGCATTGAGATTATTTTGTGTAAAAGAGAAATACAGTTCATTAGTCCTACACGCACAGTTTGGTATTTTATTTAACACTTTTCTACAAAAAAAAAATACTTGATTGCTTACTGAAGTTGCATTTCATTCGTTAATGTTAATGGAAGAAATAGGACGAGGACTTATATAATTGCCTTTGCACTAATGCTCCCCATTGTAAATATGGGATATTTATTAATTGTTTTTCATCACTTGGTTCTATAAACATTTGTACAATATTTAATGCTAATACAATCTATTGTCATTGTCATGGTATTACAAAACTTTCATGTCTGAGTATAAACGGTAACAGATTGTTGTAACATGTTTGGTGTGGAACTTTAACTCATATAGGGGCCAATCACATAATTAATATAACATAAACACAATATAAAGGATATAAGATTCAAAGAATAGTTCTAACTTTTTCAGTTAAAACTTTTTTTTAAAAAGGCTTCTTTTTGGTATATTTTTGAATCTTCTCTATTACCGAAGTCTGGAAAAAGAAAAATACCATTGTAAAAAATACCTGATGTTATTCATCACAAGTTTAGTTCATAAAAATTATTTGAGCTTAATTGTGAAACAAGTTCTAGCACATATATATTGATATATGATCAGAAAGATAGATGATGCTAGGGGGTGTTTGATATGTTACACAAATCCGTTATCCCCCATGGACAGATATAATCAAACCTAGTAAGCAATTTTCATGTAGTGCTGGTTCCCTTTGTCGGATTTTTATCACTAGTAGACAATGTCGAGTCCACTTCATGGAACTAACCAGTACTTTTTTCAAATGAGGACACGTGGTTTTGAAACCCGAGTAATGCTCGGGCCACGATTCCTGGATCTAGCGGCAACCACTATAACCATTACACATCAATCTTAAAATATGCATAATTTAAAGCGTTTTATCATTATTTTGAAGAACCCAATTATTATGATTCTAACATGTCAGCTGTGATAAATTCACAATAAATTCATGCTCACAGACTCGTATTTGTAATTGATTCACAATAAATTCATGCTCACATGCTAAAAATGACCCTGCTGGTACCAAAAATTATTAGCCAATGGCATCCGGGATGTCTGACCAGGCTCTATACTATTGGAAGCTCAATTTGTAAAAATTGTAGTATCAAAATACATTTCAAAGGCACATTACACCTCAGAAACACAAAAAGTTTTACTTCTTGTGCAAACATGAATTTCAAAAGGTTTCTTGTACTTGATATACAAGGCCCTTTTTTGTTTGTTTGTTTGTTTCACAGCACACCCACACAGAATATGTCATATGACGACTTACAGCTTTTATTGATGGAGGAAGACCTCAGGTGCCCTTCGTGTATTATTTCAGACACGAAGGGCACCTGAGAAGAATCACCGACTTACCGTATGCTAACTGGATGAAAGAATCCAAAACCCAGTCGGGATTTGAACCCACAGCGCTGAGTGGCAACGACCTTAACCACTCGGCCACGGACGCCCCACAAGGCCTTTCAACACACATTTAATATTTCTGTTATCTTGTATGCATATCGTATGTAGAATGTTGTAATTAATGCGTTTATTATGCACTGTCAAACATATAAAAGAAACTGATTCCTGAAGGTGGTCTTATTTTATAAAGATTTTGCTCTTCCTTGTGCCCTGTCCTGTTTTTGTTTCGGGTACCATGAGGGCACTATGTATAAATAAGTAATCATGAACCTATCAGAGAACCCCGATTCAATTATTGGACCGTATATAAAATAATACACCATACAAATTAGTACACCATGTATTTATTAAAATATTATAAACCAATCGGTTCACCATTGTACAACTAAGTGCATTATGTGCCAATTTGTAACCCGTGAAGGCTATATATTGGATCTGTTTCCTCAATGTATTGTCTTGTGACATACTGACCATTTGACTCTTTCATTCATAACCATCACATCACTAAATATAAGCCCTGTGTCAATGTACTGCATGATCATGTCATATTTGTTTATATACTTTGATGTGAACGAGGGGTGAATGTTAATTATTTCGAAGCACTTGCCTCCTTAACGTGAGTTCTTATCCCACCAAGGACGTTTGATTCTGTCGTGTAAGGAAGCTATCCATATAGCTATTAAAGCTACCAATACAGCTAGAAAGTCGCAATATGACTTTAACGGTGTTGGTTATGACTAAACACTCATGTAAAAACTGAATATGTATACTACATTGAAAAAGCACGCTCCGTATTTTAAAATGTTTTTTTACAACGAAGGCACTTATAATATCATTATCATATATTCATACCCATTTGTTTTAAATTATTGCCGTCAATTAGACACCAACATATTAAAATTGATGTTGAAAAAATGAAATAATCGCATGACAAATAAGTTTCTCGAAAATATTGAAAGTAACACTTTTGACTTCTTGTGCATAGATTGCCGCTATGAACAAAATTTAATTGTTCCTGAATAGTTCTGCTTTTACTCCTATTTTTCTTATCTGCCACAATATTTTCTTAACGGTACAGTTACTTCTGAAATCATTTTAATATTTTTTCTTCCAAGTATTGAGTTCAAATTCAACAATTGAGTAATTTATGTTTTTTTATATAATGTAGTATAGTGTTATATATGAAATGGAATAAATTATTAACACCGGTCAATATCATCTTATGAAAACATCAAGCGAACCATTTTTCATTCATAAAAAGAACTTAATTTTGACAAATATTCCAATCATTTTAAGAATAAAAGTCTTAGAAATGATAAAACTACAAAGATTGTGCGTGTGTTTTTATGTTTATTTATGCTCGCAACCCGTTGCTCATATTGTCATTTCAGATTTCGGAGGATAGTGCAAGGCAAATACACAGAAAGATCAATTACAGAAGCTTCTCCTGGTACTTTAGCGTGCCAAGTGTTTATGCACCCATACACGTGACCTCAATTGAAAGTCTCACCCGAAAGACTGATTAGTAATTATATTTGGCCTGTCCGGGAATCGAACCCACAATGTCGAGTCACACTCTAACCGAGCTACGCGGGCTGGTTACTACTAAGATATCGAAGTTGGATAGTTAAATACATGCAGGTGTATTATCAAGACGTCATCATTTTGATATCTGCGCTTTCTTACAACTGTCGCCGTCAACCACCTAGCGGAGAATAACGTTTTGCGTCAAAATATCAACAACATTTACAACGCATTGCAAGCCCATTTCGTGTTCCCACTAGGAACGACAAGACTCATTTCAGGTTGTCAATATCCGATGATCGAATGATATATCTAAATATTTATCTGTTCCGTGGTTTTGTTAAATATATATCTGTTCCGAGGTGCTGTTAAATATATATCTGTTCCGAGGTGCTGTTAAATATATATCTGTTCCGAGGTGCTGTTAAATATATATCTGTTCCGAGATGCTGTTAACTATATATCTGTTCCGAGATTCTGTTAAATAGATATCTGTTCCTAGGTTCTGTAAAATAGATATCTGTTCTTAGGTTCTGTTAAATATATATCTGTTCTTAGGTTCTGTTAAATATATATCTGTTCTTAGGTTCTGTTAAATATATATCTGTTCTTAGGTTCTGTTAAATATATATCTGTTCTTAGGTTCTGTTAAATATATATCTGTTCTTAGGTTCTGTTAAATATATATCTGTTCTTAAGTTCTGTTGTCCGCCTCCGTGGCCGAGGGGTTAGAGTCGATGACTTCTAATCCAGGTACCTCTCTGGCGTGGGTTCGATCCCCGGGAGATGCTTTGGTAGTTTAGCGCGGAGGAAGGTTGTCTAGTACTGGTGTAACTCTCCAGGAACGATGGTTAGGAAACTACCCGCCTATATGACTGAAATACTGTTGAAAAAGGCGTAAAATGAAACAAACAAACAAACAAATAAGTTCTGTTAAATAGATATCTGTTCCTAGGTTCTGTTAAATATATATCTGTTCTTAAGTTCTGTTAAATAGATATCTGTTCTTAGGTTCTGTTAAATATATATCTGTTCTTAGGTTCTGTTAAATATATATCTGTTCTTAGGTTCTGTTAAATATATATCTGTTCTTAGGTTCTGTTAAATATATATCTGTTCTTAGGTTCTGTTAAATAAATATCTGTTCTTAGGTTCTGTTAAATATATATCTGTTCTTAGGTTCTGTTAAATAGATATCTGTTCTTAGGTTCTGTTAAATAGATATCTGTTCTTAGGTTCTGTTAAATAGATATCTGTTCTTAGGTTCTGTTAAATATATATCTGTTCTTAGGTTCTGTTAAATATATATCTGTTCTTAGGTTCTGTTAAATAGATATCTGTTCTTAGGTTCTGTTAAATATATATCTGTTCTTAGGTTCTGTTAAATAGATATCTGTTCCTAGGTTCTGTTAAATATATATCTGTTCTTAGGTTCTGTTAAATATATATCTGTTCTTAGGTTCTGTTAAATATATATCTGTTCTTAGGTTATGTTAAATATATATCTGTTCTTAGGTTTTGTTAAATATATATCTGTTCTTAGGTTCTGTTAAATATATATCTGTTCTTAGGGTCTGTTAAATAGATATCTGTTCTTAGGTTCTGTTAAATGGATATCTGTTCTTAGGTTCTGTTAAATATATATCTGTTCCGAGGTGCTGGGCATCATTACAAGAGGACGTGTTAGGTACTTTTATTTACAATCGTTAGAAACAGTTGTTATTTCACAATTGTATCATAGTTTAGAGATTTTTCTATTGAAAATGTGTCAGAGTCAAGACGTATACTCACACTTGGTTTGTTAAATGAAGTGCAAATATTAGTTACCCACACTTCAGTTACCGGTTAGTCTGTTGGGGAATTGAAACTGGATTATGCTCGTTCATTGGTTCATTTTTCCTGTGGTTTACGTATAATGACGACAATGAAAGGGACAACAATAGAAAAGTCATATATATTTAGATGCTCGTACATTATGGATACTATTTTCTGGGGTTTCATATTGTGACGACAGTGAATATGTTTTTTCCCTTTGATACAAATGACAAAGAACATCAAAACACCAAGCAGTTCGATTTAAACTCGGGGGCAACGCTCCATCGTACAAATCAGATAGCCTCATGTTTCGATACTCTTTCTATTACTAAATACCATTGACAGTTATTTTCAAAAAGGTCGTATTATTGAAGTACCTTTATTGAATCAGGTCAAAGTTTAAAGATAATGAAACCACGATAAGACTGTTCTTGTATAAAAGTGACCACCTATTTATTGATATAAGGTCATTGAACAATAGACCAGACAAGTACAAGATGGACTTAGTTTTAACTATATTGATGCTTACCTCCGGTACTTATACATATATACGTCAGTTATTTAATATTGTACGAGTTTTAATTGAGTTAAATTAATTTAATGAAATGTATTGTGATTTCAAATAAGTGTGCTCATCACGATCTTTGACTGTTGCATAGTTATTCATCCATCTCTGTCAGCCGTAAAACGCCATAATGGATGCTTGGTCAATTGTGCTCTTCACTAGACGTTAAATGAAAGCGTTATTTCAGCTTTGTTTTACGCAGTATTTTAGCACTGATCACTTTCAATTATGTAATATGCGTGCGCGTTTTTATAATGTTTCAAGGCTATTTTAAATTCATAAAGATATAATGTTTTAACCAATCATTAAGTAAGTCTAGAATTTGTATTTCAGTTACATATGTAACAGCGGTTACTCTAGAGTGCCCGGCAAACTTAGATAGCGGTCAAAATGTACGTCATTTTGGAACTCATTGTTACGAGTTCATACTAAACCACCCAGTGGACTGGTTCCACGCTGACAATGATTGTAGGAGTAAACGAGGCTACCTTGTAGATATACATTCGCAATCAGAACAGGCGTTTATATACAATACATTACAGGTAATATTGCATTCCTACATATTTCCTGACAAGTGATTTTATAATGTACCAACATAACGTGCATTCCTATATATTTCCAAACAGGTAATAATGTAACAACGAAACGTGCATTCCTTTATATTTCCTAACAGGTGATTTTATAATGTACCAACGAAACGTGCATTCCTATATATTTCCTAACAGGTAATTTTATAATGTACCAACGAAACGTGCATTCCTTTATATTTCCTAACAGGTGATTTTATAATGTACCAACATAACGTGCATTCCTATATATTACCTAACAGGTAATTTTATAATGTACCAACGAAACGTGCATTCCTTTATATTTCCTAACAGGTGATTTTATAATGTACATACGAAACGTGCATTCCTTTATATTTCCTAACAGGTAATTTTATAATGTACCAACGAAACGTGCATTCCTTTATACTTCCTAACAGGTGATTTTATAATGTACCAACGAAACGTGCATTCCTTTATCTTTCCTAACAGGTGATTTTATAATGTACCAACGAAACGTGCATTCTTTTATATTCCCTAACAGATAATTTTATAATGTACCAACGAAACGTGCATTCCTTTATATTTCCTAACAGGTAATTTTATAATGTACCAACGAAACGTGCATTCCTTTATCTTTCCTAACAGGTGATTTTATAATGTACCAACGAAACGTGCATTCCTTTATCTTTCCTAACAGGTGATTTTATAATGTACCAACGAAACGTGCATTCTTTTATATTTCCTAACAGATAATTTTATAATGTACCAACGAAACGTGCATTCCTTTATATTTCCTAACAGGTGATTTTATAATGTACCAACGAAACGTGCATTCCTTTATATTTCCTAACAGGTAATTTTATAATGTACCAACGAAACGTGCATTCCTTTATATTTCCTAACAGGTGATTTTATAATGTACCAACGAAACGTGCATTCCTATATATTTCCTAACAGGTGATTTTATAATGTACCAACATAACGTGCATTCCTATATATTACCTAAAAGGTTTTTTTTTATTATATTGTACCAACATAACGAGTATTCCTATATATTACCTAACAGGTAATTTTATATTATACTAACAAGACGGACATTCCTATTTAATACATAATTCAAATATATAAACTGTGTTTGAAATGAATAAAATTTTGAAATAGAGACACTTATTAAAAGGTCGGACTAATTTGAACAATAAATCTTCAGGTTCACTGTTATATGACTTATGTAAGTCATATAACCATTTTATTGTGTCAAACAGGTCATATTTAGTTGGCACAAGAAATATTTCCCGAATAAGTAAGTACTGCTAACGTTAATGTCTAAATAAAGCAATATGCCCATATTATGATGAAAGAGTTTAGCTAATTGTGTTGATATACTGCTAGGATCGGTTTTGAGATGTTTAATGCGTTTTTTATCTTCAGAATCTTAAGTAACTATAACATCAAGTGTCTAAATATAACATCAAGTGTCTATAAATATAACATCAAGTGTCTAAATATAACATCAAGTGTCTATAAATATAACATCAAGTGTCTAAATATAACATCAAGTGTCTAAATATAACATCAAGTGTCTAAATATAACATCAAGTGTCTAAATATAACTTCAAGTGTCTAAATATAACATCAAGTGTCTATAAATATAACATCAAGTGTCTAAATATAACATCAAGTGTCTATAAATATAACATCAAGTGTCAAAATATAACATCAAGTGTCTATAAATATAACTTCAAGTGTCTAAATATAACATCAAGTGTCTATAAATATAACATCAAGTGTCTAAATATAACATCAAGTGTCTATAAATATAACATCAAGTGTCTACAAATATAACATCAAGTGTCTAAATATAACATCTAGTGTCTAAATATAACATCAAGTGTCTAAATATAACATCAAGTGTCTAAATATAACATCAAGTGTCAAAATATAACATCAAGTGTCTATAAATATAACTTCAAGTGTCTAAATATAACATCAAGTGTCTATAAATATAACATCAAGTGTCTAAATATAACATCAAGTGTCTAAATATAACATCAAGTGTCTAAATATAACATCAAGTGTCTAAATATAACATCAAGTGTCTAACTATAACATCAAGTGTCTAACTATAACATCAAGTGTCTAACTATAACATCAAGTGTCTAACTATAACATCAAGTGTCTAAATATAACATCAAGTGTCTAACTATAACATCAAGTGTCTAACTATAACATCAAGTGTCTAAATATAACATCAAGTGTCAAAATATAACATCAAGTGTCTATAAATATAACATCAAGTGTCTAACTATAACATCTAGTGTCTAAATATAACATCAAGTGTCTAAATATAACATCAAGTGTCTAAATATAACATCAAGTGTCTATAAATATAACATCAAGTGTCTAAATATAACATCAAGTGTCTAAATATAACATCAAGTGTCTAAATATAACATCAAGTGTCTAACTATAACATCAAGTGTCAAAATATAACATCAAGTGTCTATAAATATAACATCAAGTGTCTAAATATAACATCTAGTGTCTAAATATAACATCAAGTGTCTAAATATAACATCAAGTGTCTAAATATAACATCAAGTGTCTATAAATATAACATCAAGTGTCTAAATATAACATCAAGTGTCTAAATATAACATCAAGTGTCTAACTATAACATCATGTTTGATACGTGAAGTGCCATCTCATACATTTTAAAACGAAGCATGTTGAAATACATGTCTAATTCTTTATTATTTTTGTTATACAAAATAACTTATCGACGTATGGTGCTGATTAATTCACGTAGATTTTAAAGCACTACCTTTATATTTATCTCAGATTCTTGGTTTACATGGTGATAAAGGTGTATGGATTGGACTGACCGACAAAGATAAGGAGGGCACGTGGAAATGGACTTCCGGTATCATTATAATCATTTAACTTCACATAAACATAATCGTATGGCATTTCTTCTAAAAATGCATTTAAGGGAAAGAGACGTTAGTTGAGTTTGACACAAGTCCGGTATCACTTATCCTTTATTTCATTCAACTTTCACATAATCTTGTACTTCATATGGTAATACGAACGTGTACTTACAGCCGCTTTAAGGGAATTAACTCAAATGAAAATGTTTAGTAAAAATATTTAAGTTACTTTTTGTGAAGTTGTAAGGTTGGCCACAATAAGGCAGTTTTTGTTTCGATAGTGTGCATTCACATGCTCTTTAATTCGGTATAAAATGTATGATTTTGATATTTCTTTAAAGTTTCATTGTTATATTGTTAGTCATGCCGCGCCAAACACTACAATTATTTAACCTCAATAAAGTTACTTTAAAAAAAGTTACAAAGTCACCGATTCCTATATGAAAGTATGGGGAATGAAATTGACAGCAATAGCAAGTTCAATGTCAATGTTTACATGTACTTGATTTTGAATATGAATGCTACCTTAATACATGTATTGATCAAAATCATAACGCTTATATATATAAAAAACCCTGAGGTTTTCAGTTTGAGGTTTATCACATACCCAAAATAAAGAATGTTTAAAGTGCAGAAGAATCATTGTTCATTGACGCGCCTATAGTATAACGTTAACATTAAGCGCGTCTGTACATGTATAACGTAATAACGTCACGTATAATATGCCATCAAAAAAGGATACACTATCTTACGGCAATGTGTATGACAAAATGACGTAAGATGAAAATAATTCTCATAAACGCGATTTGTAATCATTTATGTCTTAAAACTTATTTTTTTGTATTTTTAGAAATTGACCATTTCTTTAGTAAAATTATCACTCGCGGGCAAGCGAAATCTAGCGAGTGTATGTGCATTTTGCAACTGGCTTGCTTAATTCAACTAGCACTTTTTAACGTTTAAATTATGTTGAATATTGTTATTTTAAAATCGGTTTTATTTTTGTATATGTTCTTTTGTTACATTTTGTTCATAACGACGTAATATCTTTATTTTATGCTGACTGATTTGAAATGCTTTTGTGCGTCATGTTGGCCAAGCGCCAAACGGCACATTGTCGGACTTTCGTCTTGTCGTCCTGTCGCGTCGGTAACAATGTACGCCAAACTACACGTTGTCGTGCGGCGTGTCGTCGCGATGTCACATTGTCGCTCGGTTCAAATCGAAGGATTGGCTTATAAGCCCAGTGACAGGGCGACATCGCGACTAAGCGCCGCACGACAATGTGCCGTTTGGCGTGCTTCCTTACAGACAGGACGACAAGACGGCAGCGCGACAACACGTCGTTTAGTGCTTTGTCGTGTTGTGCTAGCGAAAAGACGAAAAGGTGATAACGATATAGGTTGCGTTGTCGCTATCGACAACGCAACGCGCAATGTACCAAATCAGCCACCATTATCTTTTGTATTGATAAACTATGTTTAAATTCTAACTTTAATGAACCTTTTTTTTTTGATAACACACTTTTAATCTTATCATACATACATTTGAAAAAAAAAAATTATGCTAGACATTCCATTATATTATCATCGAAAGCATTGTTGCTTTTAGATATAATTGTTTTTCAATTTAGATATAATCGTTTTTAAATTTAGATATAATCGCTTTTCAATTAAGATATAATTGTCATAGAGTTTTCTAATCAGATTTGTAATTTATGCAAGGAACAAACGTGAACTATAAGAACTGGGCGGCAGGACAGCCAGGTCTGTTTGGAGGAAGCGAAGACTGTGCTCTGCTAGAAAAGAATGGCCACTGGGGTGATTACCCGTGTTCTGGAATATTTTTGCTAAGACAGAATCATGGATGGATATGCAAATATGGTATGAGAAAAATCAGTTTTATTCATGTTACTTGTTTAAAAAAAAAAACATTGCAGAATATAAATTATTTGTAGATATATGCTGGTAGATCTAATATAATTAAATACATTATAATATAGACATGTCTGTTATCATAAAAAAGATAATTCGGGTATTTAAATCGAAAGTCTTATATTTTTACACCATGCATAAAATAGAGAAATACAGAATCCCTAAAGAAAGTCCAACACGACAAAATTGAAAATGTTGCAGGCTCGGTTTGATTGAGCCTGTTCATGGACGGTACTGGAAAGTGCAAGTTACCGTCCACACCCCCTAGCATTGGCTTGAGCAGAATTCAACATTAACACGAAAATTGTGAAATTTTGAATTAAGAAACATCCGCAGATGTGTTCATACGGCGGTTATCATGGAACCTTCAATGTGACACAGTAGTGCCATTCCATGAAAAGCGGCGTATAGTCCCCAAGTAAAAGAATGCGTGTGCCCTAAACGAGAAAACAATGGGCGGAACTAAAGAAAATGGAATTTTGAAAGGGGATCTGAGGTTATGAAGCCTGCATATCACAGATAAGACGTCAAAAGACAATTTAAAAAGCAGGCAACATATCCTAAATTTTGTTTGTTTTGTTTTTTTGTTTTACGTCACTTTGACACAGTATAGGTCATATCGCGACGATCCAGCTTTACTGGTGGAGGAAGACCTCAGGTGCCCTTCCGTGCATTATTTCAGGCACGAACGAACATATCCTAAGGGTGATTAGACAGTATTCAAGTAGTAATACTGGAACCACTCAAGTTGAAATGAATATTGTAAAATTAATCAGTTTATGCTCCTTACTGAATTTATTAAAAAAGTTTAACAAACGTCGCACTAACACATTAACGGCCTTCTTTCCAGCTCTTCTGGTGAAGGAAAACGTCAGGTGCCCCTCAATGCATTATTTAATAATTACATACATAATATTATTTCATTTAACGAGGTCAATAACTTCTTAAATGAATCAAGCGTCTACCACATAATTTCATTAATACTGACTAATAAACATTGACCTTTACATAAATTTGAAATATTCTATTGCTGAAACTGTAACAGTAACATTAGGCGCGACTTTGCAATTCATTTGATTCAATATTATTATATCATATTTAAGTGACGTCAAAATATATGCAAGCAAGTCCGTGTCATATCTAGTTTTACCGAGTCGAAAAAAGAAACTGATCGGATATGAGAAAAAAAACCGGATTTATAAGCTAAGCTGTAATTGATTTAAGCAGACATCCATTTTTATAAATAGCACATGGATGAGATAAATGCTTTGTATTTTTAAGCTGAAGTACCCTTGACAACAAAAGTCATGACGACGACCAGCCCAACGACAACAACAACTCAAACTTCATCAACGAACAAAATGTCATCGACTCTTATGAGTACTTTGAAGTCATCAACACCATTGAGTACTATGACGTCACCAACCGTTTTGTCTACGATATCATCAACACCAATGGAGATTATGACGTCACCAACGGTTTCTTCTACGATATCATCAACACCAATGGAGATTATGACGTCACCAACGGTTTTGTCTACGAAATCCTCATCGACATTGAAAATAGTGATGTCATCGACGCATATTGAAACAATGACAATGATGTCTTCGCCTGCTCTATCCACCAAATCGTCAACAACGTCGATGGAAACAAAGATGTCGTCTGCTGCACCAGTGATGTTATCTTCACCGACTGATACAAATACGTCATCTATGACAATGCCAGTGACGGGCATGATGTCATCAACTTTAAGTAATGCGATGATATCTTCAAAGACTTCATCTTCTGCCAAGTAAACTTAGTCGATCACTACACTTAAAGAGACGTATTATTTACATAAGGTACAAAAATTCTACAAAATAAGGGAAATTTCGCTTATTTCTGATCTTCAAATGTTTTAAGAAACAAATAAACTTAAGAATTTGGAAGGTTTTCACTTTATTGCAGATGTTTCATGTCCGTCCCTGTTGTAACCAATTTTAACTTGTCTAAACATTACTCTTCGGATACATTTCAGTATAGATCTAGGGTCTACTAAGATACGGTTTATTACACATCTACCTTAATAATCTAAGTAAAATCTCTTACACTTACATCAGTCAATCATTTATTTGGCTCAGTGGTATAATATCAGCTAAAATACCGTGATTCGAACTGACAACCTCCCGCTGATATTAAAAGCACAAGTAACAACGCTCTCCCACACAGAATCGATTCTGTGACGCAGTTTCCCCCGGTTCTGGTCGGATCTCATTTACTAGTGGCCACTAACATTAAATTGAATAATAATTGAATTGCACTTAAAAGTCTTTCTATCAATACATGTGTTACCATATACATGTAAAGTCTAATTTAATTTTGGCCTCTCTGCTACTCGGCATTATATATTTCCATCATGAATGCTCAGCTGCATGAAGACCTTTGTGTCTGTGACCTTCATGCCATTGTCAGATGTCACATGTTCAGATCTTCGGACCAATATCGCATCATGGCGAGCAGCAATAAATATTACCCCCTCCCCATGTAAAGTATGGTCTTCAATACATTGTCTTACATAAATTTCAAAATTTAGTGCAAATATTTCTGAACTATGGTGGCATATTTCTGCCACCAGATAACCTGATAATTTACTAGTTAATTAAGAGGTTAACTAGTTACGTAACTAGTTAACCTCTTAATTAACTAGTTAATTATCAGGTTAACTAGTTACGTAACTAGTTAACCTAATAATTAACTAGTTAATTATCAGGTTAACTAGTTAGGTATTTGCCTAACTAGTTAACCTGATAATTATCTAGTTAATTATTAGGTTAACTAGTTACATAAATACTTAACTAGTTAACCTGATAATTAACTAGTTAATTATCAGGTTAACTAGTTACGTAACTAGTTAACCCGTTATCACTTATCTATAAATAGCATTGTTTTGCTCCATTGCATTGATACATGGTCAGATACTGGAGAGAATGGTCAGATACTAGATTGAGTGCTACTGCAATGTTAACAGATCCCTAATCTCATTCTGACATGACTCGCTTTTTATTCCCCTTTGAAGGTATCATTGTCGGATGATGATGATGCTTTTACTGTTCTATTTTACCTTGATTGTAAAATAGTTCGAGTTGTAAAGCAATAATTGAACCAAAACACCATTAAATTTGTATTTAATATGTATCTTTGAATTTAAAGACAGAATTAAACAAACCCAGAAAATGAATGCAAAATACATTTTATTCAATGTTGTAATTTAACATAAAGGTATAAAGTAATTCAAACAACCATTTAAGATCGTTTACTGTCATATCTTTGAATTGTAACTTAAGACTAAAACTAGCAACACTTACAAATAATAGTGAACTCTCACACAAAATACATAGGGCATTGCACAAATCAAGATGTGCATGCATTAAGTATGTTTAATTACTGGTATCATTTAAACACACACGATTCATATAAAATCGTAAGCATATAATGAATATATCAACTAACACCGAAAAAGGTAATTGCACAAATGTGCCATAAGGCATTTTTAATCAATGATATAATTTAAACACGCATCCAGGAGAGCCTCGGTGGACATTTGTAAACATTGGATACCGGGCCTATCGATATCATCCTGATCTATGCTCCTGATCCATCGTTAACCTGACGAAGATGATGATTTACTTTGTTTTGATTTGTCATTTCTCAATGTTTGTAATAAAGTTTGAGGTTTGTGCAGTAAACTCGACTGCAATATCAGAAATACCTAAATTAAAGGTGTTATGAAGCCCCTTTATGACACGACACGTGTTGCCAATTCATGGATGTAAAAGTGTCAGTGTTGCATTTGTCCCTTCATTCCATTCTTTAATTGCATAAAAGAGTACAATGTGTATAGCAACATTTAATTAAATGCTCTATGTAAAAAAAGTGTTATGCTTCACCGAGATGTGTTTAGCATTATAGCAGTTATATATACCTAATATTACGAAGCTTTTATATACTTAAAGTGTCTTTTTTATTATTGACAAACTATGTTGTGTTTTTTAAAGTTTTTTTAGTCATACTAAAAGAGAAAGATATTCTGTTACAAACAAAAATAACATTGCATGATTTACAACATTATTCATTTCTTGATGTATTTGTATACCTTCCTGTTAAGGCAATGATTTGTGTATTGACGAGTACATGGAATGTTGTAAAGTAATTTATCAATACTTTCCATATCTTAATGGACAGGTGCAACATGGTTGGTGGTTATAATAAGATACATCAATAAACCCTTTGATTAGTTTATGTTTTATAACATGCCTTTTCATGGGTCAGTACAAATGATTACTTTAAGGCCCGATTACGTTTCATTTAGGTATGTATATTGTTTATATAAAATAGGATATGTATTAGTCAGACAATGAAAGTCTTAACTTTCAAAGGCTCTGGACAAACAAGTTTGCTTCTTTAAAAAGAAGCATGCGAGAGGTCTTTTTGCTGCTGTGGAAAATTTGTTTAATTCGAAAATATTTGGGGATATTTTTGCATAACAGACACAATGAATGTTTATAAATTACAATTATTAAACAAAATAGAATTTATTATATATATTGCAATGAAAGTTTGTTTTACATTTCATCTTTTTTAATGTTTTAAAAGATTATATGCCGGAGAAATGGACTTTTTTATTGGCGCATTAGGGATAATTTTTCAACAACAAAAAATTGTAAAATTACTTAATGTAAATTAAATGATATATATCATTTACATTTGTATTTTAAATTCAGTTACCTTTGTAGAAAAATTAATATATATATATATATATATATATATATATATATATATATATATATATATATATATATATATATATATATTAAAATGCAGCCTCCAACCACAATATTAGAAGAAAATCAAACTTGAGATAAAATTTGTGCCATTTGCGCCAAAAAATCTCCCTTTGCGTTATTTAGATATACCGGTTCAATACACGGTTCACTCGTCATATAATATGTTTGTTTGTTTCATTGTACGCCTTTTCCAACAGTATTTTAGTCATATAGGCGGGTAGTTTCCTAACAATCGTTCCTGGAGAGTTACACCAGTACTAGACAACCTTCCTCCGCGCTAAACTAACAAAAAAAAAGCATCTTCCGGGGATCGAACCCACGCCAGAGAGATTACTGGATTAAAAGTCATCGACTCTAACCCCTCGACCACGGAGGCAGTATATATAGTGCATGGTGATATTGTACATAGCTATAATGTTCACTGTAACTATTTATTAGAACATGAAATAGTACGTAAAACAATTCAGAAAACAATACGGTAATCGATTTATACAGTTACGGAATGAAGCATCCATGCACGTAGTGTTAAGTAACGTAAATGATATTTTCCGATTTTTCTATGTAGCGATTTGTTCACTTCGATGTTAATTTTTCGTTTAAGTTAAGCCGTGTTTTGAAACGGGGCATGCGCAAAACAATTTTTGTAGACTGCTCCTAATGATTTTACGCTCAAAATGAGATTCATTCACTGCAATCAGATACGCAAAAATGGATGCCGCCAGCAATCAGTCTGAACACTATGGAGAGGTCTGATGACCTCTCCAATAAACAAATACACAGGAAATTGACCCGATGCTGTGAGACGCGTGCAATAAACAAGGGAATATCTTGCTGCTCACGCCAAAATTCTATTTTCGCGAAAATAACCCTATTTTCGTATTTTAGTTATACCCCGCTCATAAGCGGACAGTACGGGTATTCCAAATATTATGCAGTATCTATTTATAGATAAGTGATAACGGGTTAATTAGTTACGTAACTAGTTAACCTGATAAATAACTAGTAAATTAAGAGGTTAACTAGTTACGTAAAAACGTAACTAGTTAACCTCTTAATTAACTAGTTTGGTATCAGGTTATCTGTTGGCAGAAATATGCCACCATACCGATGAGATTACCATTTCTAATGGTCAAATTTTTTTTTGCAAAATTCCTTGATATTATTACAATCACAAATCAAGTGAATTCAGCGTTGTTTCCAAGATATCATAAACCACTTTTAAATCGTTGAAAAGTTATTTATTGTTACGGATTGCCTATTTATTTGCTCTCGATCAATTTTTGTAAAGAATTGTAAATACATTTATCGTCACACAGCCTCTAATTCGGGTGTTATACTTGTACATGGTTATTTATTTCTACCGATAATCAATTGGTTAAGGTTTCAAATGGTTGTTTTGTACATCACAATTCAAAGGGTATTAATCTTTCTCCCATCACATGATAACTAGTACGACCTACTATAAGTATTAAAATCGAGGTCTTTCTAGGCGGAGGAATGTGGTGATATGTCAATTCGGCAATCGTAGCCTGTTATTGAATCTTAAATTAACCTAAATAAATCGTATAAAAATCATAACTCAATACTAAATTAAAACTAATAATTGCAGTTACATAATGAATATTCCATAGTTTAATAGGTACAGTATGCATCAGAAATTAATAATCTTTTAAATTCTATAGAAAAGTCTGATATGTGTTTTAGAATATTTCGATAATGTTTTAGTGCGTCTTAGATGTAGAAGTGTATACAAAGAAGTGTTTTGAATTCCATACAAAATATTAAATCTTTATCCTTAAACCAATTGCCAAAGAGCCAAGAAGCGAAAGATAGTTAATCGATATAAAGCAAATGAGTATATTTTGAAAGCTGTAAAAAGATACCAAAAATAAAAATGTTTTGATTGGCTAAAATGATATAATTTCATGGGCTTAATAGGCCTTTAACAAACCAAGACGACAAAAATAATAAGTCAGATCTGACTATCTTCCATCTTGTTGCCCAAAATATTCATTTTTAAGCTGTGAATCTACATGTATAGATACTAATATTAAAAGTATTATAGAAAACTGATTATATATAAGGCTAAATTTAGCTGATATATTTACCCATATATCTATTGTGCACTTTAAGACAGCTTTTGCATTTGTGCTGAAATAGGCGGCGTAGATCAAATAAAAAAGTTTTTGGAGGATTTGCATAGATTGGCCTTCTGTTTATGGGAGGTTTGGTTCGTATGCTTTTGTTTATTTTTTCGTTTGGGCTTTACGTCGCACCAGCACAGTATAGGACATATGACGATAAGTTTGCTGATGGATGAAGACCTCCATTGTTTCTGGCACGAACGAGCACCTGAGTAAATTTCTGTAAGCTATCTGGATAGATTCCTCACATAAAATAATCCAAAGTCTCTGTTGGGATTCGATAGGTATTATATAACGAGTTTGATGTTTATTATATTACGGGTTATAAGTTTGTGTGTGTGTGTGTATCATTAATAACATTTCCGCATGTTGTCGTCTGCTGTTAGATGTCGTGACGTAAGCTTATGGGGATTTCACATAAATCACCAGATAGTTTGGCATTTAATTGATTGCTGCTCATAAATTACAAACTGACGTTTTCCTAGAATGACAAGACCATTTATATTAATTTGTGTATGAAACTAGTTAGTTACGACATTATAATACTGGCTCGGGCGACATCTCGGGATGTTTCTGTAAAAAATTGGTGAGGCCGTAAGGCCATGACATTTTTATTTCTGCAGAAACATCCCGAGATGTCGCCCCAGCCAGTGTTATACTCTTATTACGGACCCGTAACTAACTAGTTTCCTCTATTATAAGAGTTTATCGCAATTTCATAATTTTTATATAACAGAAATCAACACAAAACTGATATGTTTCAGAGCTTTTCCCTCTCTTATGCCCTTTTCCATTCGCTTAAAATGTAAACCATAGAAAATTTGAACGAATACCAGCTAATTCTTTTTTAAAATGTTTTTAGCTACTGGGAATGTGTAATACCCCCATTCCAACCTCTATAAAACATATAAACTGAACTGCAAGGTGCAAAAAAAATGCAATTTTGTTATGTTATACATGTTTGTTCTGACATTCTCTATCAAAGCAAAATATTTTCAATTTATAATATATTAATCAAAGCACTTAAGGTACTATAAATCTAGATGATATTATACCAGACATCCAAACATAAATAAAATCCCAACATTCCGGCGGTAAGGGACACCTGTATTAAAGACATGGCAAAAGGTTAATTGGAAAACAATCACTATTTGAAATGTTCTTAATATGCTGTTAAATTGTTAACTAGACATCATGTAACGATAAATCAAAGGATTTTTAACCACATTTTTGTATTATATTGCAACACTTAAGCATGTTGAGTCCAATAAGTACCAATGAAACGTACTAGTACGCCTATAACTCTAAACTGCTTCTAAACGGTAAGTAGGTCGGTGAAATATATCCTTGTTTTCAAATTTCAACAGTTTTGAATTGCGTTAACTTACAGAAATGCACTCAAGCTTCGGTTTGTGTCTCTTCATTGTTATATTTCCAACAATTTTTCCAAGAATTTAATCAAAACTGACAAATAATTCTACTTAGTTTCACTAGCAAAAGAGAAATATACATGTTTGATTTTATAACTTTAAAATTTATCTTTAGTTTTTACCTTGCATGCTTATTTGTTTCAATATTGTGCAATTCTAATAATAGGTAATACTAACTTATTTATGTATTGATCATTTTAAGATTTAAACTTTAAAGATCCTGTAACACATTTTTTTCATGGTTTTATTTTATAAATATGATGCTCAAATTAAGATTTGTCAATATTGTAAGTTCCAATAAGCATTATTTATAAAGATATTATCCAATTTAACATTTCATGTAAATAAAGGGAGGTAATTAGAAATTTATTTTATATAAATTCTAAGTCAAATTTTCCAATAAGAAATGAATGCATGTAATTTACTGATTAAATATAATGTGCACAAATGTTTGCAGTACACATTTTACATATTCTTTGATGTTTGAAAATTGTTTTATTTGCATAATTATATACATATATAACTTTTTGCAAGTATGGTATACACACAGTAGCAATATCAATCACAAAACATACATGATCTTTAAATAAGGTAAGAAAAATTAACATTTTTTCAAGCATTCTGATTGTTTTATTGTCATTTAGGACGGTCTTTGTTAATCTGGTTTAAGACAGGTAAGAAAGAAAAAAAGGATAAAAAAAGGAAACATGGTCAAATATAAATATTTTTATTTTTTTGAAAAAAAAATAAAATTGAATAAAATAAAAAACAAAAAAAGCAACATATTACATGAATTAAGTCAATTTTAAAAACTTACTGAAAGTACCTAACTTCGTAAAGAAAGCAGATGTATTTCAGTCAAAATGTTTTTCCTTTAATGAACATTTAAATAATCTAATGAGTTTATTTCTAACTAAATTACAGTACACCAGATAGATGTGTGGAAATAATTACGTTTTGGTGATCAGAATTATTTAATGAACATAAGCCTAAAACAGGATTTTTTTTTATTTCTGTAGAAAAGGCACCATAATTATGCTATATAATGTTGTAATGATATATAGATTTAGATACATTTGAGATGTTTATCAAAAGAACGCTGAATGTGAAATATTTGTGATAGTTGTAGCAAGATGTAAACAAAGTAGTATTTTGATCCTTTTTTTGTCAATGAGTAGTTTTATAAAATATTAACAGGATCAATGATATTTGTGTTCAGAAAAATTGACACAAACTATGTTACATATGTTCATCATCTCAACACATGCTATACATGCGGCATCTTTTGACATAAGCTAAAATAGTTACTAATAAGTAGCTAGTGTTATGTATGTTATGTATCAGAGGATAAAGTTACGAGGTTTCCCTCTTTCTGCTCTTCTACGTAACTACCTACCTTTTACAGCGTCTTCATTATCAATCAATATGATCAATAAACTTTTATAACGTACATTGTCCATGTAGATAAAAATAAAAGTAAACATTTAGTTTTTCGAATGGTGTATTTATTTAATTTTCAGTCTTATATGTGTCAATGTATTGAATATTGTATCTATCGAACATAATGTTTTTTTATTTGGATTACAGGTATTAAATCGATGCAAAGTCTACTTATCAGAGTCACGTGCTTATTTTCGAATCTTAAGAAGTTTTGTTTTCTTTTGTCGTATTGCAGCCGGTGTTTCTTGTTCAAACTGCAAGTATTTTCATGTATATTCATAAAATTGACGTGTTTCTGTGCTTGTTTAATTGACGTCACCACCCTGACGTCATACTAACAATGTAATATAGACAACACTGTTGTCGTCTGCACGTGTAAATTTGAGCCAGTCGATGGTACCTGATGCTTTATGGTAGAACATAATAACAAATATATTTCATTCTGTTTACAAACATTCATATTATGTAAACAAACATGTACAGTGTACGTTAAACACCACTTTACCAAAATAAATGTATAGTCTTTTCCTACAGTTATAAATTAGATCTAATTAATACATGTTCTTTTAAAAATATTTGCTTGAAAAATGTTTTATATTCTGAAGCCGAACTAATAACTCCCGACCAAAAACAACAAAAATATAATGTCTTGCCAACATTAGAAATTGTCTTGTCAAGTGTCTTAAATTCACTGTACATACATCTGACAGAATTAAATTTGTTTACTTTTTGTTAGCTTGCTGTAAAAGCCAGTTCTGATTCTTCCATCGGCCTGCAAATCTTTTGTTGTTTTTACTGTGTAGCTGATTTAATTTGTTTTGAATAATTCGCCACCTACTTGCCATTCGTTTCACATCGTCAGAGGAATCTTCGCGTTTATCAGCGTTAAGTTGAGATAATTTTCTATGGATCAAGTTCCACCTTGAGCGATGACGTTTGTCGACGTTGTTGTAGTCCGGATCAGCGTCTGTTACGTCACCGTACACGTCATCATACGCGTAGGAATCTGGAATAATAAAATCCCCATTCAATATTCCATATTCAGGAATCTCCTTGTATGTGTTTTCACTTATCTTCATACCATCGCTGTCGCCAGAAAATCGTTTACTCAGGAAATGTCCATAGTTACCTCCACTTCGCCCCTGTAAGCCGTAACTTTGCATATCCCGCCAATTTCTGTTTTTCCATCGTCCGAGATTCCTTTTACCTTGACTTTGTGACCACATGATGTTTTTCCACTTTCCTATACCCCTCTTTTCGATGTCATCGTCACCTACTTCACTGCTAACATCTGCTTGTTGTGACTCCACACTCGCATCTCCATTGTCTGAGCTGTCTGTTGTGGCTAGTTTTACTTTATTATCGTCTGCGTCAATTTTTCCAGCAGCCTGGAAAAAATGTACATAACAATTAAATAAATGCACAAAATCTAAGTTTTATGAATAATAAAAGTTGTATTATAATATCGTACATTTATTTACACATGTTTCTGCATGTGTGTCAATAAGACAATATCTTTGCTCGCTTCAACATTAATAATTCCTTAAGTATGATCATCTTAATGGATACTGTAGGGGACTGATTAAAAATGATAACAAGGGCCATTGTACCACATACATTATGCTGTACGAGTTCTGTAATCTAGCATTGTTTACCAAGTATAGTTCTTTAATAAAGTGTTGTTTACAATTATGTTTATATTATCAAGTATTCAAATTTATAGCTATGTTATCAGGCTTGGTGTATCATTTATAATTCTGTAATCAAATCTTGTTTTCTATTCAAACACTGCAGAAATTATTTATTTAACTATAGGCAGTCATATGTCTGTCTCAGTTTATACGCGGTTTTCAAATAAAACTGCGGTTTGTATCAGTTACAGAAATGTTTTTACAGTTAAACCGACAAAAATCATCCAACGCGGCAGCAAATGCTACAGACTCAGTTTGATTGAGTATGTTCATGTGGACGACACAAGTAAACATTCCTGCCCTTTTGCACCGTTTTCAGATGAATTGGGCATTATCAACAGAATTAATTTCCTTTAACGAGTTTGATCAGTCACAATATATAAGAGCGGTAAAGAAACACAGAGTAGACATTCGTTCACTTTTTAATCTGAATTTAAACGAAGTCAGCAGATATTTTTTCACTTTTCGTAACCGCTGGCGTTTGTGAAACTATATTTATTCCACTTAAGTGTTTATCCTGACTTAAATTGACAGCTCATTTAACAACAGTAAATATCCTTTATAGATTTGTAAAGAGACTTCACGCCTTAAACAGTCTATCATCCAATGATTGATGTTCAAAGTCATCTGCTTTCTCTTTAACCAAAGATGATAAATCAACGTATTAGATTGTTTAAGTAGTTATTATTTTCTAGAAAAGGCATGAGCCTATACTTTAATCAATCAACGGTACGTCTGCTCGTCACAGAAGTTTAGTTATTTTCCAATTTTTTAAAACAGTAATGTTTAATAGACCTTTTAAATGGGAAGGCAGCTTGCTAATCAATTATTGTACGATATTACAATAATGTAACTTTAAAATAAACCATGATATCGCTAACTTTATAAAATAATCGAGGCTACACGTTTTAATGGGCGGAAGTACAGCCTGTTTGGCCAGATACTGTTGGTGAATGCCGCCCTCCTTTGCTGATGTTTACTTTCGTATATTGAATAATAAACTTCATTGTGTATTGGCTGCTATGTTATTAAATAAGTTGAGGGAAACATGAATACTGCCTTAAGTATCATTAATAGATTAACATCATTATGAAGAGCTTTCTTGATTATAATAATTATCATCATCATCATCATCATTATTTCTATTATTATTATCATTGTAAATCAAGTTGATTTTATGTTTCATATACAAACTTTAAAACAAATCACTTCATTATTGTGCTAGAAATAAAAATGAAAATTTCCATAAAAATACATATTTTACATGAAGCATTGCACAATGAACCTTATATATATAATCATAACAGGACCAATTGCTGTCATATTATTAATGATACGATAGAAAGGATAATTGAGGAGATAGAAACAATCATGTTTTACCCATTGAGACAACCTAGCAATATCCTCTCGATGATAGAAATCAAGTAATGTTTGACATTTTGACGGCTGTATAACAATGTCTTGAGGGACTTCTAAAATATCTATATATCGCCAATACATAGCATTAAACGTAAGCATCGATAAACTTTTCGGCAAATTGAAGCCTTTTTGAATACACTTATGTTTACAACATATTCTTTATATGAATATGAAAAATATAAGGAAAAAAATAAAAAAAAAATAAAATTGAATGCCAAAAACACGACAAAAATAGAATTTTTAGGGGCAGAAACAGTAGTTGTTAATGCAATATTCAGTCAATGTCCGCCCTAGCACCGGTTCACTCAAAATTTTACATCATACTAAAAAAATACAAGGTATGTTAAATAAATGCTTCCTGGTGTGTTGATGTGTTGATATATCGGTGTAAAACTAAGACCTAAAAAGCGAATGTTGTTCGGAAAGTAAGTACAAAGAAAACAAACAAGGGTAGAGTTAATTTTAAAAGAAAAACGCTTCAAACTATGTTATATCAAGAATAAGATGACGTCAATGCAGAATTTACCGGGAAAAAACCTTGCTATAGACATTCTCTGATCATTTGTCAAATATAATATTTATGCATTGTCATTCTAGACATTTATTTATGTAACAGTTTTTACTCGATGACAGTTGATATAAACAGTCGCTGATATTTGCTAATAACCGCCAAAATTCGCCGAAATATTCGCCCAATATTCGCCGAAATTCAATCAACAAATTTTAAGTATGATAGATATGTATTTCCACATTCATTCAACCCTAACAGCGAGGCATAGCTATAGAATTTATTTGCAACATTTTTAAAGATTGTAATAAGATTGGCGTGAGCAGCTCATGAACACATTTGCGGATGTTTCTAAATTCACATTTTCACCATTTTCGTGTTTCAATGTTGAATTCTGCTTTTAAGTCGGTGCTAGAGGGCGTTGACGGTAGCTTGCACTTTCCAGTACCGTCGATGAACAGGCTCAGACCGAGTCTGTGACATTTACAATTTTGCCGTTTTGGACGTTCTACGTTCAATAGATATTTTATTGTTCTTTTTTTTTCTATTTGATGTACTTATCAAGCGATATGATAATTTCGAGGAAGAAGTATTAAACAGCAAAAGATGTAAAAGTCATCTTATTGTCATAGCTCGAAATCATGATAACATTTACAATTGTTAAGTGCTGATGTATTACTTTCAAATGCATCTTTAAAATTTTCATAAATACTAGAATGAATTTGGAGTCATGCTGCTTTAAAATTAAGTCACAGACAAAGTCAGAGTTCATAAAGACAGTCCATAACGCCCATAAATTACCGTACACTTATGTTCTCTTATTCCAAGGGCAGATAATTCACATTGAAGCTAAACATTTTTTTTTGCTTTCTGCTTTTCCAGAAGCTTACAAACTGTAAAGAGCAAAATAAAAAAATAAATAAATAAAGAAATAAATAAATTAAGTGTGCCTTGTGCCCTCTGCTCACTTTGAACCTTGCCCTGCTGGTTTTTGTATTCCTTTTTATTAGGTTTTATTGGGGGTTGCTTTCATTTAATGGCGCCTTCGGAAAAATTACAACTCTCATGAAGATTGTATTGAAGACATTAATTAAAACTAAAATATAAACATTTTCTCATATTCCAAGATCGTGGAAAGTTTAGATAAATTCAATGAAACAATTTTCATCCTACGAACATAGTTTAAAGACGCGCTAAATGAAAACTGTTTCCCTTTCACTTCTATTTATTGATAATTATTCAAAGGTAGCGGTATTTCATGTAGGTTTTCAATTTTTTAGTTAATTTCAAATGACATTTACATATAAATCTGAAAGAATCACGTGGTGTAAATAACAGTGTAACAGTGCCGTTCTTGATATGATATCACCATGGCAAATTAGCCACTGGAAAATTTGTTTAATCACATCTAGTTATTTTGTCTGATCCCGTGACGTTAACAATCAGTCTCCTTGATTGAATTAAGTACACAAGACTTTACTTTTATTTCATTATCCATCATGCCAAGACATCAAAGTGTAATGATTGCCTCATTCTAGGCAGAAAATGCCGAACAAAATTTCTGATGACATTATCTGAACATTTATTTGTGTCTAGATTATTTTTTGCAGAGATGAAAAATTGATCAAATAATATTATATTATATTACAACTGGCAAGAAGAAAAAAAAGCATCTTTAGTACTTAATCTGTTAAAGGTATCACGTGCCTGTTTCGGAAGGATACTGAGTCATATTTTACAGCGTCTAGTAATATATTCATGCATATGTCATTTGCCCTAAAGGAAATATTAGTAAACAAGCGTACTTCTTTCATTAAGGTATTAAGAATTATTCTTCTTCGAAATTAAAACAATTTTTTGTTGTAAACTACAGGCCTGAGATATCTTTCCTTATTCACTAAAAATAAAGTTGTGCAAGAAAAAAAAAACCGGTATTGATGTATTGTTTTAAATGCATGTAGGTGAACAATAAATAACACTAGATTGTAGATGAACAATAAATAACACTAGATTTATAACATTTCAGCCATACAATTATCCTCTAGCTATCCTAAATGGAAAAAACTTTGGTTTTCTTTACGCGCTACGATCTTTTATGGTGGCTAATTGTGCCATGTCGTACTTTTGCTCTTCGGGGAGCCAGGCTTTGTCTTATTATCGTGTTTTCACCTAGCGCCCGGCAGAGCGAAAGTAAGACAAAGTACGACAAAGTCGTCACTTTGTCGTATTTTCGTGTTTTCGCATGTCGCCCCGCGTAGGGAAAATACGACATGTCACAAATCAACCACTATAAACTTCACATATTTTTGTTATTTTTACATCAGTTTAAACATTGTTTGTCTTAATCCTGTCACTATAGAGAAAACATTAATCAGTGTCCTATATTGATTCTTTCATTCCCTAATTTATTTCTGTGTTATTTGTAAGTTTGATTTCTATTATCCCCACGCTGACAAATATGATTTTATTATGTGTTTATTTTGGTAGAAAATAGTCCCTTCGAGAAATCAGATGTATTATTCGCGCCGAGGATTAGACTTTAAAACACAATTGCACGTTAATTCACTCCACTTAAGCTAAGATTAATGAATAATTCAACAGTCATACAAAGAAAGAGACATTTACTGTAACGGCATAAAGCAGACGACATATAGTTATGACTGGAAAATAAATTACCCGTGACATTTCTCTCTGATTAGTCTGTTGAATTTGAAGAAAATGGATATTCTATGCTATCTTTAGACTCATCTATTCACAATTTCACAATGAA